TGAATATTTTAGGGGACCAGTGCTGTGGTGTAGTGGGTAAAGCTACTGCCTCCAGGGCTAGCATCCCATATGGGTGCTGGTTCGAGTCCTGGCTGCTCCACTTCTGATCCAGTTCTCTGCTATGGCCTGGGAAAGCAGTGGAAGATGGCCCAAGTCCTTGAACCCCTGCACCCACGTGGGAGACCTGGAAGAAGCTCCTGGCTCCTGGTTTCAGATCAGCTCAGCTCCAGCCAAGGCAGCCATTTGGGGAGTGAACCAGTGGATGGAAGACCTCTTTCTCTCTGTCTCTCTTTGCCTCCACCTCTTTGTAACACCATCTTTAAAATAAATTAATAATAAAAATCTTTTAAAAAGTTTTAAAAATATATAAACAGGTGAAATTCATTCCAATTAATCATCCAAATATATCTAACATACTAAATCTCATGTATTTAAAAATATATTGACTGCATACGAAGTATTACCATTTCAACAAGTAAGTCATATTAAAATTATTAATGAACTATTTAACAGGTTTTTCCATCTAGGTCTTCAAAATCTAATGTTTCCAGTCAACAGCACATCTCCATTCAGTTACTCCATTTTCATTGAGAATAATATGCATTTAGATTGCATAAAATTTCTGGTTGAAAAGGTAGCTTCACCTATCCAGGTTCTTTCAAAGGTAACAAAGGGCTTTGTGACAGTGAACTGAACACCAGTTTCTAAATTTCATTTTAATGAAATAAGGTTAGAACCTCGGTTCGCCGTGGCACGGGCACGTGCTCAGTAGCTACTGTAATGACGGGGCAGTTGCAGAGGGGGCTGCAGCTGCCCCATCGCCCACTGCCTGTTCCCCTTGTCCTGGCCCTGGGCCGAGAGGTAGGCCGAGATAGAGAGAGAAGTCACAACAGAGGTCAAGGTGCTCGTTCCTAAGCTGGACAGTCTAGCTGGGGTTCTCCTGTGGGCCCAGCCTTCTTAGTCCTGGGGCCCACTGGGCACACTGGGCACACTGGGGCACAGGCTAGGGCGCGTGAATAATGCTCTATGCTTTACCTACTGCTGCTTACAATAGTTGGAGCCCGGAAGGCGGGCTGAGTTACTCCGCTGGGTAAGTCACAGCGGCCCGGGCTCCAGATGGACTGGACACGCCTGTCTCTGTTCTCCCATGGCAAGCTATGCTAGAAGAACATTTCCATTTGTAAAGTCATCGCATAGAGATGGAAGGCTGACAATTTTCTCCAAGACTTTCAGATACTTCTTAAATTAGAAAAAATGTAAAACTTAAGTGGCCATCAGGGGTGTTTACTGCATTGCTTGGTCCCAGAAAATGTTCACTGATAAATTAATTATTATTACTTTGATTTTTATAAAGATATATTTATTTGTTTGAAAGGTAGAGTTGCATAGAAAGAGGAAGATCTTTCTTCCACTGGTTCACTTCCCCAATGGCCTCAGTGGCCACGGCCGGGCCAGAGCCTGGAACCCCATTTGGGTTGGACTTGAACTATACTCATATGGGACGCAGGTGTGAGAGCTGACCCCACTGCACAGCAAGGTTGGCCCCTATTACTTCTGCTGCAACAGAATGTCAAACAATGGCTTTTTTTAACTGGGGAAAATGTGGATAACTTTTGTAATTAAAGTTGTTTTACATTTCTATATATTATAATTGGGGGGGAATGAAGTCCACTGGTTTGTACATTAGCAGGACTGCATAACCATTATATCTTTCTACTCACTTTTTTTGGAAGTCAATACTTAACTAGGAAAGAATTTTTGTTAAAGTGCATGTGAAAGCTGGCGCCAGCGGCTCACTAGGCTAATCCTCCACCTGCAGCGCCGGCACCCCTGGGTTCTAGTCCTGGTCCGGGCGCCAGATTCTGTCTGGGTCGCTCCTCTTCCAGGCCAGCTCTCTGCTGTGGCCTGGGAGTGCAGTGGAGGATGGCCCAAGTCCTTGGGCCCTGAACCCGCATGGGAGACCAGGAGAAGCACCTGGCTCCTGGCTTTGGATCAGTGCAGCACACCGACTGCAATGTGCTGGCTGAAGCGGCCACTGGGGGGTGAACCAACAGAAAAAGGAAGACCTTTCTCTCTGTCTCTCTCTCTCACTGTCCACTCTGCCTGTCAAAAAAAAAGTGCATGTGAAAAAGTTCGATGTCTATAAATATATATATACATGTAAAAATTCAAAATAATCTACTTGTAAAACATTTTTAGAGTTTTATACCCAATGAAAGATTTTAAAATAAAAATGTTTATAAAGTGCATTCTTTTTGACTAAAGGTTTTTTAATGATGTTTATTATTTTACTTTTTATTTCAGAACAATTTAAAAAATTTTTTTAAAAAAACCGTTTTTTTAAAAGAAACTAGCTGCCAAGGTTGCCACCAGGTGGCGCTAAAATCTAATGAAAATTCAAATCTCCAATCTAGCCTTTGAGGAGAGGGGAGTTGATTTACAGAAGACACTGGGCCAAAAAGAAAAGAAAAGGAAAAGGAAAAAGACCACGTGAATTAGAACAAGTACTGGGAATATATTAATATCATCTTCTGTCTGAAAGACAATTTCCCTCTCTTGCTGGGATGGGTATGTGATCGTCACACCTGACTATATGTTAAAGTTAGTTTGAACAAGATTTGTTCTCCTGGAAGAACTACACGTTACCCTTGCCTTTCAGTGGAAACTGCTGATGGGGGGCGAGGGAGGAGGCTGCAGGGTGCCTCACTCGTTTGGCCAAGTCTGGTCTGCGAGGGGAACAGTCTGGAAAGCAGCATCTCTCCAGAGCCAGTTAAGGATCCTGTACAAAAACCAAGAAGAATGAAGAGAAGGTGCTGCGGACGGATGCTCCGCTGTGTTTCCTTTGGCACATTTGCCAACTTCATACTTTTAGAATTTATTGTGATTCCGAGACTCAAGATTGGAACAACTCCTATGTCTGGAAATCAGGAAATCAGTGAATTTAACCCCTCTTCCTGATTCTTTGTATTTGAGGTTTTTTTTTTTTTATCTTTGTTTTATATTTTCCTAATATTTGAAGTTAAAGGACATAGCCAAGATTCCCAAGCTATATTAAGACCAAGGAAAGCAATGTTAACAATACAGCTATAAAAAGTTTTGACTAAAAGAAGAAAAATCTGTGTAGATAAGATTTTCCTAATAGCCTAACTTTAAAAAAAAAAAAAAGTTTCCAGACTGGAGTCTTATACCAAAGATCAAAACAACCTATTTATTTCCTGGCCAATCGGTTCCTTAGGCTTAAAAAACAAGGCAAGGGGCGTAAGTGGGTAAAGCTGCCACCTGCAGTGCCGGCATTCCATATGGGCGCCAGTTCAAGTCCTGGCTGCTCCATTTCCGATCCAGCTCTCTGTTATGGCCTGGGAACACAGTAGAAGCTAGCCCAGGTCCTGGGGGCTCCTGCACCCCCGTAGGAGACCTGTAAGAAGCTCCTGGCTCCTGGCTTTGGATCAGCCCAGTGCTGGCCATTGCAGCCATCTGGGGAGTGAACCAGTGGATGCAAAACCTCTTTCTCTTTCTCTGCTTCTGCCTCTCTGTAACTCTGCCTTTCAAACAAATCAATCAATCTTTAAAAAAAAAAAAAAAAGACAAAATTCCTCTCTCTAACAACAACAACAAAAATAATTTGGGCGCTGCAAAAAAGTGGAGCTGGTGTGGGGAACATGCAGCCCTTCTGATGGTTCAACCGATGCGGGCCAGGATGGGCCCTAGAGGGTAACAGCCACTAGGTTGACCTGTGAGTGGCACTGAAACCACAGGCTCCCTCTCAGCTGCCTGCGTGGGTTCGCCTGGGTGACTGTTAGAGCGGATCTGGAGCTGAGGTAAGAGCCCCCCCGAAAATCCCCACCGAGCTCCTGAACAAGCGGGTCGATCCTCCAGTCACCTGCTGGCTGGGTCCGGAGGACGCTGGCGCCCCCACCAAACCACAATCCAGAGGCAGACAGACAATGGGGCAGTGAGCTCGCCGTGATGGGCAGGTCTCCCTTCGGGTTTCCAGACCAGAGGTGAGGGCCACGTCCCGCAGGGTCCCCGGGGCAGCTGCCTGCAGCCCTGCTGGTTTGGGGCGATGGACCCCCAGCGCGCGCTCACTCGCACCTGCGAGCCCTGGGCCCCTGCCCCACCGTTCGCCGGCTCAGTGGGGTTTAGGGGGCCAGATTCTATTGCACTCTTCGTTCGGACACGGCTCTGCCTTAACAAACGGGTCCGAAAGAACCACGCAGAGTTTCGGCCAAATACCCCGGCCTGCCCCTTCCTATTCATCGAACCAGCGCTCGCCCACTCGGTCTCCTTTCCCTCACCTTCGCCCGGCGACCCGAGCTGGGGGGTCCTGAAAGAGGAGGGCAGGGGCTTGCAAGGGCCGGGAGGCTCGGCCCAGGCCCACCCAGGTTGCAGTGGGCGCCTCACGCCAGGGGCTCAATCCCAGGGCAAGGGCGCCCCGGGAGGCCCGAGCACAGAGCGGCCGGCTCCAAAAGGGCGAAGAAGAAACCTTTCAGTTTGGAAACAAAAGTGCGTGTGTGCCCGTGCGTGTGCGTGTGTGTGTGGTTGTTTACTTACAAACAAAACCACGTTACGGGAGCCGCCCCTCCCCCGCCCCAGGTCCGACCACCCGCGGGGGGTTGGCCAGAAAGCCCCGCGATTCTGCTCTAAAAGGAGGCGCCGACCCCCCACTCCAAAGTGGCGCCCCGTCTCGGAACCCGCGGGCCCAGACCCCGCGGGCTCTAGGCAGCCAGCCCTCGGGCCACGACGAAGGCGGGGAGCCGGGGCCGCCGCGGCCCCGCAGCGCCGGCGGCCGCGCAGACTCCACGGTCGCCGCCTCTCCCAGCCCCGCGGCCAGGGCCGTCAATCAAGCCCGTGCGGCCCCGCCTTCGGGCTGCAGCGGGCGGCCAATCAGAGCCAAGCTCCGCAGCGATGAGCTCAGCCGGCTCGCTTCCTATTGGGCGGCTATATTAAGAAAGTGGCCGGACTCTTTAAATAGCAGGCGCTAGGGCCGCAGCCCGCATCTGCCACCGCAGTCTGGCTGGAGTCGTCGGCGCCCTGGTACGCGCGGCCCGGGACCCGGGAGGGGGAGCGGGACCGACCGCAGCCCGAGCCCTTGTGGCGCACAAAGCCGCCGACCCCGGCCCGGGGCGTGAGCCGCGGCCGCAGTCCGCGAGCAGCGCGGCGCGCCCTATGCACCCGCGCCCCCGCCGCGGCAGCCTGAGCGCCCGGAGAGAACGCGCCACCGCGGGGCCTGGGTGCAGCTAGCGACCCTCGCCCCCCAGCGCGCCGCCGGAGGTGAGCAGTGAGCGAAGCGAGCGGGACGGCAGCGAGGCGCTCGCGGGCCCCCTCCTGCTGCCCGGGCCCGGCCGGCTCATGGCGGCCATCCGCAAGAAGCTGGTGGTGGTGGGCGACGGCGCGTGCGGCAAGACGTGCCTGCTGATCGTGTTCAGCAAGGACGAGTTCCCCGAGGTGTACGTGCCCACCGTCTTCGAGAACTATGTGGCCGACATCGAGGTGGACGGCAAGCAGGTGGAGCTGGCGCTGTGGGACACAGCGGGCCAGGAGGACTACGACCGCCTGCGGCCGCTCTCCTACCCGGACACCGACGTCATCCTCATGTGCTTCTCGGTGGACAGCCCGGACTCGCTGGAGAACATCCCCGAGAAGTGGGTGCCGGAGGTGAAACACTTTTGCCCCAACGTGCCCATCATCCTGGTGGCCAACAAGAAGGACCTGCGCAGCGACGAGCACGTCCGCACAGAGCTGGCGCGCATGAAGCAGGAGCCCGTGCGCACGGACGACGGCCGCGCCATGGCCGTGCGCATCCAAGCCTACGACTACCTCGAGTGCTCCGCCAAGACCAAGGAGGGCGTGCGCGAGGTCTTCGAGACGGCCACGCGCGCCGCGCTCCAGAAGCGCTACGGCTCGCAGAACGGCTGCATCAACTGCTGCAAGGTGCTATGAGAGGCCGCGCCCGCCCGTCTGCCCCCGCCTGCGCGGCGCCCCCTCCCGGGCCGGTCCCCCAGCCAGCCGTGGGGAGGGGAGGCCCACGCCCCTGCAAGGACCCCACCAGACTGCCTGGCGTCTGCGGGCGGCTCTGGCTCTCGCGCCGAGAAGCGCGTGGGCACCGGGCGCCCCCTTCCCAGTGTCTGTGTGCGTCCAGCTGTGTGGCACAGGCCCGGGCGCCCCCGCTGAGTGCCAAGGGTCCCCTGGACAACCTGTTCTGAGGATCAGAGCCTCAGAGCGTGTGACTGCGTGTACGTTCTACTGCCCCCTCGCTCACATTGTCACACCACCCCCGCCTTGGGTCCCCCCGGGGTGGGGGTGGGGGCCGCGCCCCATCGGATGTTAGCCCGTAACCCGCGAGCGCCTTCTATCCCTTGTTTGTAACATAGACCCCGGGAACTGCGGGAGGGAGGGCTGGGGAGGAGGAGGGGGGTGTTCTATAAATACAGATATAATTTTATTTTCGGAGGTAAGATGGTGTTATTTAATGGTCGTGGTGGGTGGAGTGACCAGGGCGTTAGAACAGCTCTGGCCCCGGGCTGGGTCAGGCGCCCATCCAAGCATGACCAGGACTTGGCCATCTTTCTGAGCCCTGGGGAAGACATTTGCAACTGAGTTGGGGCTGAAGGGACACAGCTTTTAGAAGCAGCAGGTGCTGCCAGCCCCCAGCGAACCTCTCTCCAGCAGGAGGAGGGGCGGGGCGTGTGCTGGGGGCCTTGTTGTTGCCATAAGCGAACTCTGTGCCTGACAAGTGAAAACTGTTCAGTCCAAGAAACGGATGTTTTTTTGATTTATTTAAAAGCTGAAACTTTTTTTTTTGGAAAGAATTCTTTGCACAGTTGTTTCATTGTTTGACACTTAATGCACTTGTCATTTGCATAAGGCAGTAGCATTCTGTATGCTGTAACCTCATCTACTTCGGATTTATTTTTTTTGAATGATGATTTTGAAAACAAGGAAAAGAAAAAGAATTTACTAATTTTTCCTTGGTTTTCTCGAGAAAAGTGGCACCACTGTTTTGAGATTTTATTTGTGCAAGTCATGCACACTGTTTTGATAAGGGACAGTAACCCGTGTTGGGGCCTATTGAGAACTTTTTTGTTTTCCCTGCAAGGCAGCCTCTGCAGCTATGTGAAGTTTTCTCTGCTTCTCTGTACAGAGAATAAACCTGCCCGTTTCTCCCCTCCCCCTTCCTGCCCAGTGGTACTTCTACTAAACTGTTGTCTTGTTTTTTTATTTTTCCAATAAACTGACAAATGACAAAGTGGTGAGCTTATGATGTTTACATAAAAGTTCTATAAGCTGTGTATACAGTTTTTTATGTAAAATATTAAAAGACTATGATGATGACATTTATAAAATGGCTCTTGTGGTTTAATGCTCTGTAGTAAGGTATCCTTGTGCACGTGGGACAAGGGGAGAGACCCTTTCTGGGCAGCGACTGTCATAGCGGAGGGCGAAGGTCTGGCGGGCTCTGCGGGTTGGGTCATCAAGGGAGACCAGGTTGTTGGCTGTCACAACCCCAGAGGAAGACAAGCCGCTCACTCATGGCCCAGAGCAAAAACTTCAGCCTGATTAGGCGAGGCCAAAGGTCTTGGTTTTGTCTCTGTCTTAAAACCACTGTGACTATTGTGGACTTGGCTTCTTTTAGACTTGAGAAGCTGTCACTTGCGTGTTTTCAGTTTAGGTCACATTTCTGGGGCTGGTTGCCTGGCCTCCTTCCCATCCTCCAGGGCTGCACACCACCCTGTACAGTGGCAGGTTGCTCTGCCTGGGGCTGGAGCTCCAGGGGCTCTCCTGGGGAGGGTTCTCTTCCGATGGAACTTCCCTGGGAAGATGCCGCAATAAGAAGCCTACCCTTCTCTGAGAAGGGCCGGTTGCAGACAGCGCTGGATGTGGTGGTGGTGGTGGGCGGTGGGAGTTATTTCAAGTTGGAGCAGCTCCGCTTTGGGAACCAATTAGGATGAGCTCTAATTTCAGACCCTGAGCCTTGCTGCAGTGGTTCTCCGAACCAGACAGGCCGATTTGTTCTTGGAGACCACACGAAAATCCCGCTGCAGGCGGGAGGACTCAAACCTGCCGGCGCAGAGGAAGGTGGTGCCAGCCTCCCCCACCTGCCTCCCAAGCTTGGCTCTGTCTGAATCGGCATTTTCCACGTCTTCGCGCTCTGTTGCCACCCTCCCCTCTCCCACACCCAGGGCCAAGGCAGTGGAGGTCCCTCTTGAAGTTGTTTGCTTCAAGGCTGAGGCTCGTTTCCCCTCTCCCCTGCGATTTCCAAGAGCTTTTGTTGAGTGAAGAAAACCTGGTTGTTGGTGGTGACCTTTCACCCACTTAACACAGGCTGAAACAGGCCTGCTCCACTGGGGGGGTGCAGGGCCAACAGAGGGGGATTGTTTGGACTCCTCCAGGAGCCACTCCTTCCTCGGCCCATGGCTCCACTCACCTCCATCCCATAACCTACTTTAAAACAAAACTTCCCATTGAAAGACAATGTTTATTTGCAAGTTTTTACAGCCAGCAAATCCTTTGGTACCAGGGAGTGCAGGGATGGGTAGGGGAGTGCTCAGGCCTGGGCTGAGTGCCCAGCACTCGGCTCTGCAAGCAGCCAAGAGCCTGGAGACTTGCCCCCCCACCCCCACCCCCAGAGGGCCTTTCTGGGTTTCCCGCCTGTCCCATCTGCCCGCTACCTAAAGAGTTCTGCTTTTATATTTTGGGGAGACAACCACCCGGAAGAAGTAGAGCAGCCTGGTGGGGCCTGTTTTAACTGCGTGCCATTTAAAAACCCTGCGGAACATACTCTTCTTGCTGTGTTAGGGCCCAAGTGGAAAACAAAAAAACCAAGTTGCTCTAGGCTGGAAAATCAATTAGGGGGGAAAAAAGAAGGTAAAACATCTGGTGTGACTCTTAGAATATGAAAATTCATTTTGCACATTTAAAAGAAATGTGCTGAGTTCATTTAATTGCCTGTTGAAACGATTCATGGAAAATAGTGGGAAGTTTCATTGATCCTGGGTGTTTTATAGCAAGGGGCGTTGTCTCAGGTTTTCCTTTAATCTCGATCTCAAATCAGTCTGGATTGCATTTCTGAGGTCTTTTTCCCATGTGTTTCGGTAGACTGAGAAAGGATGCTTTATACGTAAGTGTGACCAGAATCCTGCTAGGGCTGGTCACAGCGCGGATTGCTGGGCCTGGCCTCGGCGGAGTTTCTGATGCAGTAAGTCCAGGCTGAGGGTTCGGGAATTTGAATTTCTAGCAGGGCCCTGCATGACGCTGATGCTGCTAGCTTGGGGGCCGCACTGTGAGAAGCAGCGGCTCGGATGGAGGGAGAGTCCTCGTAGGTGCACACGGGAGGGAGAGGGTGTCTATGTCAAAGCGGCTCTCCCGACAGCGACAGCGTTGCAGCCAGCAGCTCTGGCTTCCTCAACCCTCAGGGGATACAGACTTTCCCAGAGCTTTCCTTCCAGGCTACACCACACAGACTCTGTCTTCTCACCCGCATGCTTCTGCCAAAAGGCACTTGATTCCCTTCTAGAAATTTCTCTTCGCCATTTGTGAATTCAGAATGCAGCAGCACCCTGTAATTCAGCTGGCCTTGGCCCGTGCTTCGTCAGCTCTGATGAGGAAAGAAGAAAAAAAGCAGCGAGAAGCAGTCCTTGCCCTCGTGAGCCACTTCACTGGTGGGCCAGGCAGTTGCAGGAATGCGTTCCCCAGGAGCAGGCCAGGGCCAGCGATGGGGCGATGGGCGCCCTAGGCGGAGGCGCCCCTGTTGGAGGAGGGGACATCGGATCTGAGTCTTAAAGGAGAAGTGTCTGACGTGCAGATGGTGGAAATCTCAGGGCAGAGGCAGGGTGAGCAGTTGGGCCATTAGCGCAGTGGTGACGGCTCAGCTCTGTGCCGGGGCAGGGGTGGGGCGGTGTCTGGACGCCAGTGAATAAAACTCCCTTGGGTGAGAACTCCTTTCTGCTTTGGCCCCTCTGGCATTTCTTGGGTCTAGAAAAATGATATTGCCCAGCCAAGCAGCACACAGCCTCCCCCCTTCCCTCCTCATCCACAACACGGGGTGCGTGTATCTGGCAGGCGGGGGAGAAGGTGGGTGATGCCGGTTCCATTGTGTTCTCTGGGCCTTCCAGGGATGTGGCACTGACACAGGGCTAGCTTTGTGAGCACCGAGCCCTGGGAAGCATACACCCTGTGCCTGAACAGGTCCTGTGACTACAAAGGGACTCTGTCCCCTAGCTTGTTGGGTCCTGACAGCTTTGCTTGGTCTGTCTCCTGGCTGGAGGGGAAGTGGGTATTCAGGTTGTGACCCCCAAGCTCAGCGACCCCTCTTCCGGCCTGAGAGGTCAGAGTCGGGAGGACCTCAGTTTATTCCTTCCTGTTCATTCTTATTTATTTGAAAGGCAAAGAGACAGAGATAGATTGGTAGACAAATAGACCTCCCATCCACTGGTTCACTCACCCAAATGCCCACAACAGATACGACTGGGCCAGGAGCCCTGAACTCATTCTGAATCTCCCACATGGGTGGCAGGGACCCAAGGACTTGGCCATCACCTGCAGCTCCCAGGGTCTGCATTAGCAGGTGGCAGGAATGAAGAGCCTAGGTGCTCCAATGTGAGATACAGGTGTCTGAAACCCTGTCTTAATGGCTGTGTCAAGCTCCAGCCCCCTTCCCATTCTTTTAGTTGGCAAATATTTATGGTTGACTAAGAGGCTCTGGGCCTAGCGCTGTGCTCAGGGCTGGGGGGGGGGGGGCGGCAATAGATAAGCAGATCAGCATTGTCCCTCCCCTCCTAGAATTTACAACGAAGAGAAGATGATAATGGCTAGCATCGTTGACCAGGCTAATCCTTGTGTTAGTTATCTATTGCTGCATAACAAGTTATCCCCAAACTCATTGGGTTAGACCAACATCTACTGCCTGGCAGTTTCTGAGTCAGGAATTAAGGCACAGCCTACTGGGTCCTCTGGCTTATGACCTCTGGTAAACCTGTAATCCAGGTGTTGGCTGGGGCAGGATGTGGCTCAAGGCTTAGCAGGGGGAAGGATTCAGCTAAGTGGTGGCTGCTGGCGGGCTTCAGCACCTCAGGTCCTAGCCATGTGTGCCTCGACACAGGGCAGCTCACAACACCACGGCTAGCTTCATTAGAGAGAACAGGTGAGAAGGATCAGAGAGGGCATGGCCAGGCAGAAGCCAGTCTTTTGGAAAAAAATTATTTACAGGGGCAGGCATTGTGGCACAGTGGGTTAAGCTGCTGCTTGGAATGCCTACATCCCATATCAGAGTGCCGGCTGGAGTCCCCTCTCCTCTGCTTCTAATCTAGCTTCCTGCTAATGCATTCCGGGTGGCAGCAGATGATAGCCCAAGTGCTTGGGCCTCTGCTTCCAGTATAGGAGGCCTGGACAGAGTTCTAGGCTTCCAGTGGTGGCCTGGCCCAGCCCTGGCTGTTGTAGGCATTCGGGGCATAAACCAGTGGATGAAGTGCACCTGCTCTCTGTCTCTGTCTTTCTTTTTTTTTTTTTTTTTTATTTTATTTTATTTTTTTTTGACAGGCAGAGTGGACAGTGAGAGAGAGACAGAGAGAGAAAGGTCTTCCTTTGCCGTTGGTTCACCCTCCAATGGCCGCCGCTGCAGCCGGCGCACCGCGCTGATCCTGGCAGGAGCCAGGATCCAGGTGCTTTTCCTGGTCTCCCATGGGGTGCAGGGCCCAAGCACCTGGGCCATCCTCCACTGCACTCCCTGGCCATAGCAGAGAGCTGGCCTGGAAGAGGGGCAACCGGGACAGAATCCGGCGCCCCAACCGGGACTAGAACCCGGTGTGCCGGCGCCGCTAGGTGGAGGATTAGCCTATTGAGCCACGGCGCCGGCTGTCTCTGTCTTTCAAGTAGATGAAAATAAGCACTTTAAAATTTATTTATTATTTTCATTTTTTTTAATTTGAAAAGCAGAGAGAGAGAGGGACAGAGAGATCTTTTACCCTCTGGTTCAGTTCCTAGATGCCTGTTTTAGCCAGGGCTGAAGCCAGGAGCCTAGAACTCGACCTGGCTAGAAGGGATCTAGCTACTTGAGTTATCCCTCCTGCCTCCCACGGTGTGCACAAGCAGGAAGCTGGAGCTGGGACTTGAAACCAGGCCTTTTGATATGGAATGAGGGCATGCCAAGCAGCGTCTCAACCTGTGTGCCGCTCACCCCAGAAGTGAGTCTGTTATGACCCAGCCTTGGAAGTGATGTCTCATCACTTTCACTGTACCGTATTTGTTAGAAGCCAGCAAGTGGGCCTCATGCACACTGAATGGGAGGGGGCGACCCCGGGGCGTGAGTAGCAGAAGGTGGACTCAACCCACTGGGGTCATTTTAGAA